CCACCTTTTATTGCTTTTCAACCTCTAAACATGGTCAATGTAGTTGGCTTTTTTGACAAGAATTTTCAAAACAGGCTTTTTTTTTTAAATCCCAAAGTGAAAACAGATTTCTACAAAGCAATGTCTATTAATTAAAGATAGAAAACCTAAAATAAGTGATTGCATAAGTATCCACCCCCATCAAGTCAGTATTTAGTAAATGCACCTTTGGCCGCAATTACAGCATTTAGCCTGTGTGGATAGTTCTCAGCCTGGCTAATCTTGACTCTGTAATTTTACCTCATTTTTCTTTGCAAAAGTGCTTAAGCTCTTTCAGGTTACACAGCCATTGTAAGTGAACAGACATTTTCAAATTCAGACAAAAATTCTCAATTGGATTGAGGTCTGTGCTCTGACTTGGCCACTCCAGAACATTCACTTTGTTGTCTTTAAACCAATTCTGTGTAGCTTTGGCTGTATGCTTTGGGTCATTGTTTTGCCGGGAAAAAAACATTCTCCCAAGTTGCAGTTCTCTTGCAGACTTCATCAGGCTGTCCTGTCAGGATTTCCCTATACTTTGCTGCATTCATTTTGCCTTCCACCTTGAAAGCGTTCCAGGGTCCAGCTACCTGTAAGCATCCCACATCCTTATGTAGCCACCACCATTCCTTACAGTGGGAATGACATGTCTGTGATAATTTGCAGTGTTTGGTGTCTGCAAAATATAGCATCTGGTTTATGGCCAAAAAGCTTAATTTTGGTCTAAAGACTAAAGAAGCTTCTTCCAGTTGACTTCAGTGTCTCCCACATGCTGTCCTTTTTAGTCAAGATTTAATATGAGCTTTTCTCTCCCTCCTCAGCCACTGAAGCTAATAACTCCCTCAGAGGAGTCATAGGTGTCTTGGTTACCTCCCTCACTCGTCCTATTCCTGGACAGTCACTCTGCTTTTGAGGATGGCCTTCTCAAGGAATATTTACAAATGTGCCATATTTCTTTTCTTTTCCCTGCGGTGGATTTAACTTCACTAAGGATATTCAATAACTTGGAAATTTTCTTGTGTCTATCCATAAACTTATTTTTGTCAATAACCTTTAGAGGGAGTTGTTGTTAGTGTTCTATATTCTGCAGGGTGCAGTTAAAGCCAGGAGTACTGATTTACAAGTGACTGGACCTTCCAGATAGGATGGGTCTGATACTACAGTCACTTGAAACACATTCACCGCACTTGGATGACAATTGTTTGACTCCTAGCATCAATGCGCTGCAACTGTGTTTAACCAAGGGAGTCACTTTAAAGGGGGTACATACATATGCAAATCACTTATTTTACATTACCTTGCACACGTCAGTTTTAGTTTGAAATGAAAGAGCAATTTTTGTTAATTCTATTTTTTTTTTAATTACTAAATTGACCATGATTCAATGTTTGAAAGTAATAAAATGGGAAAATTTCCCAGGGTGAATACTTTTTAATCAAAACTGTATTCACATTAACAATCAAAATCACTTCTTGGAACCTAGCAGAATTTGCCAGCATTTTTGGTTTGGAAGATAACCAGGTTTGTTATGGAACATCATCTGCTTCAGGCTCTAAGTATAGCTGGCTGAGCCCCGATCACAGCAGGACACTATCCCATAAACCAGGTTGTAAAACTGTATTGGGATAGTAGGAGGTTGTGGTTTTGCTGTGGTCAGCACTGCAAGGGAGTTTTCACAGATAAGGCTAATCGCTGTGCTTATCATCACAGCGGTTTTTGAGATTGAAAAGCATATGCTTGCAATCGCACACATAAATCCACACAAGGAAAAGCTGAAATATTGCTCCCATATTCATTGCTCACAAGCTACCTTTTTGTTTTCTGTCCTGCCACATCATAAGAGAGGACAGTGTGTGTGTGCCTAGAAGAAATGGTAACATAACTTCCAGGCACATCAGTCACTCTGAGAGTTGGTAGTAGCACAAAACAATAATAAAAATTAAAACTACATAGCCGAAGGATTGGTACAAAACAGACTTGCCCAATTTTACCACTTCTTCTTTCACCTCAATTATACTCACACGTTTCATACATAAATGTAGTCTCTTCATGTGTCAAATGCACCACCAAAGTATGAGCTACTACGCACCATTATTACCACAATGAGAAGTCCCTGGCCCCACAAGTCCACACACAATCAGTCCCAGGCCCTGCCCCACTCCCACCATTGTCCCAAACTACACACACACACACACACACACACACACACACACCCACACACATACACACAATGGCCACTCCAGAGCCAGGGGTCCCATGATGCAATTCAATCTCACAAAGACACACACCAGTCCTCATCCCCTCAGAGAGAAAAAGGAATGATAGAGCTGGGAGAACTGTAACCCTTAAGGTGGGATGGAGGAAAACAAATGAAATACAAAAGCAGGGGAGGTGCAGTGTGTGTGTGTGGCGGGGGTGTAGATATCACATTAGGAGAGACAGATGATAGGGCAGTTATTAATCATAAGCACAGCTTTCAAGGTACATGCACAGGTGTATAGATGACTGTATCCGTACATATGAGATAATAAATACCACCTCCCTGCTGACTAATGCAACCTGTGGAATACCTTGCTTCTAACTAATCCTTGAGACTACATGAAACACTCGCAAAGATCATGTAAACACAGTATTTGGGTATAAACAGAAATTAAATATAACACTTTCCGACACCGCAAAACCAACAACAATCTGCCAGTAACAAAAGATATAGACCCAGCATTTCCTATTTTATCACATGCATTCTTCTTTTCAGCAGAAATCTATTTAGGCTAATAAGGCGGCTGTGGAAAACAGAAGTGAGAGGGAAGTGTCCGTTGCTGAAGAGAAAGGAGGTAAGCTTCACAGAGGCAGCAGCTTATCATATGGGACATAATCCTACATCAAACAACCCAGGAATGAATGATTACATTTTTTTTTTTTTATCCTGCTTGTATCTACAGACTGTTGCTTCCTTCAAATGTGGGATATACACAGGTTAAGGGTTAAAGCTTGTGTTCTGATTGCAAATGCAGCAACAGCAGGAGGCCAAACAGATCAGGATAGCAACTCAGATTAACAAGTTTAATGATTCAACTATGTAAAGGTGCTGCTATAGGATCTGACCTGTTGTTAAACAATGGCTTGAGACAAGAGTTTCCTGAGCAACAAATACTACCAAAGAGATTTGTCAATTAATCAACAGTATTATTCTGATTTAATAACCTGAGGAAATTCATGAATACACAGGACAACAAGATGTTGGCATATTAGTTAATTCAGTTATTCACCAACTACTGAAACATTTAACCACAAAGGATTTTAACAGCTGCTTAAGCATTTAAAGACATTTTTGGGAAAAAATGCCAAATGTTTATTAGTTCCAGATAAGATAAGCTGCTTTGTGTCATGTTGACGAAGTAAGCAAGACTTATTAATGAGCCTAATGTTTTTCTAATTAAAATAAAATAATAATAATAACAATTCCAAAAAAAAAAGTGAACGCAATGAAGAATGACAAAAACTACAGGCTATCCTACGATCACTGCAAGTAAATGTTAAACAATACTAGTTGGATTGCTGCACACAGGTTACACCAAACAGACAAGGGAACCTCAGTAAAGGACCAGTTAACCTTTACTGAATAGATAAATACAACCAACCTACTACAAAAACACACACTCATAGCAAATGCATACATGAAACCCATAACCTAAACACAATCAATTTTTAGTGCCTTCCCAGAGGAGCTGAAGCCATCTGCTGCCACACAAACACTGAGTTCCTTGTAATAAAAGGGCTACTTGTGGTGGGATGTAGTGTGATGTCATGGAGTGGGTGTGTGTGCAGGAATGTGGAGGGCTGAGGGGCTGAGGCTGGGTGCAGCGGGAGTCAGGAGGGGACATGGTGGGGGAAGGGAGGGGAACATCCCAAGTAAAAAAAGGGTCCTGCACCGTTTGTCAGTCTCTCACACACACACATGGCGCTGTGCCAATTCCTCACTATTAACTACTTAAAAAGCCATAGATTTGTTCTTGCAGGAAAAGCAATTATTAAACGCTCAAGTTAAAATCTAATGTTTTCTTTTATACAGTGGACATTAGACTAAATACTATAAATGACTGATATACTTTGCAGTGTTATAAAGTTGGGTTCTCCAGCTTTAAAGCTGTTCAATTTTGTCAACAGAAGCAACAGAACATTCAATCATTGACAGGTTTGGCGCTTTAAGAAAGCCCTGTGTCAAGCAGACAGCTTATGACTTATACCCAGAAATAATAAACTTGATAGAAGGCACACATGACTGTACTTCCACTTCCTCCTTTCTTAAGAAAAATTGCACTGGCTTCAAGAGAGCGAGGATCAAGAACAAACTTATGCAAGCATTTCAGGAATTAGACACAGACAGACTTCAGCTGACTGCTGGGAATCCCCTCCACCTCACTTTAATATGCTGACAGGCCAAATACATGGCAAATGTATGCTCAGTTAGTAGGTTAATATCAGCTTGCTCCGGGTATACCTGCCCTGATCCAATCACATCAACACCTCCACCAGGAGAACAGTCCTTCAGTAACTTATCAACAGGTCCACCTCTCTCTTCTAACCTGATGCACAAGTGCTTCCATGTTTCCCAGTCAATCCTCCAAAAGGTGCAGGATGGTAAAATTAGGTTGTCACGGTGACACAGAGGATGTCGCTTTAACAACTGTACAGTAGTTTAACCACTTCCTCTTAAAGTGGAGTACAGTACTCAACCTGCACCAGATTTTAAACGAAACCACCGATTGTTGCACTGCTCGTGAGAACAACTATCATCAACAGGTTTTCACGGCGGTTCTGATCGGGAGCGAGTGTTTGCTAATCATCTGCTTTGTTCATTAATCAGCACGGTGCTCAGTGTTAGCTTTACCAACAACAGCCACGACAAGTAAACATAGAAAGACAATGGTAGAGAGAAAAGAAAAAAAAAAGACATCTTATCGGGACTCCCGCAAACTTACCACTATCTCCAGGTGTTTTCATTCTCTCTGCTTTAGCCAAACTGGCAGGGCTGCTAAAGTTTGCTAAACTGGAAGAATTCCACCAAGTTGCTTGTGGAAAGAAAAGTCAGTCTCTCGGCCTCTTCCTCCCGCTCTTGTTTCCAATCTGGAAAACTAGGTGAAGATACACCGCAAACTTTTGTAGCTGCTTGCTTTAGCGGCTCTCTCTCTCTCTCTTCTCTCGAGCCGCCGCGCTCTCTCGGTCCGTTTCCCCCGGTACCTCTGCCAAACAACCACACCGACCGAAAGGGCTTGTTCTCTCCGCCGAGGACCGCGTTTGGGTCCTCCTCGCTCTCGTCCGGTAGCGTTGAGGTCTGTTCAAGTTGCGGCGGAAAACGGCCAACCGTCCCGACTCGAGCCAGCCACTGAAGCCGTTTTCTCTCTTCTCTAACAAGTTGTTCGGCTAACTGTCCGGCAGCTGCTTACTCCGTCTCAACTGCATCCTCGTCGCTGTTCGACATGACTCCGCCGCGGTGCTCTGTTACTTCTTTGACAGAAATTAACGTTAGAAAGGAGCCTCTCTTTCTTCACACACTTTTTCAGTCCTCCACTCACTCTCACACCACTCAGCGCTACTTTCTCCTCCCCCCCCCTCCCCCCCGTGCCTCTCTCCGTCCTCGGGGTGTCGTGTTTCGCTCGCTCTCATCTAAGTGGGTCCCGCCCACACTGACGGGAGACGGGCGGGGAGGAGGGGGGGCTAACGTGGCGAGTCACGCCCACTCACCACGAGCCGGGGCCCGGGCTGGCGTCACTGCAGCACGCGGCGTTGCCTGGGAGACCGTCATAGCGCGCGGCCGCTCTGTGACGTCACATCCGAAAGCTACGAATCAAGAGAGGCGCGAGTGCAGCCCCGGCTCGCGGCGCTCGTTTGCGTCAATATGGGGTTAAGGTATTAATTAATCCACTTCGGCGCGGAATAATTACACTCATTAAAGTACAAAAAAATAACACGAAACAGTCGGTAAGTGATTAATTCCGAAAACAGGGAATTTTAACTCATCATTACTGCATATCTTAGCGAGTGAGCCACCTTTCAGAGATGACATAGTGTGCTTCATTTTTGTGAACTGACTGATGACATACTACATTACTCAGAGATTTAAAAAAAAAACAAAAGTTCTACATTCAGACATTTAGTTCTCTCCACTTAAAAAAAAAAGTGTTTTGTTTACTTTTCTGACCCTGTGGCCTTTTGCACAGTCATTATCCATGTGCAGATTCTGTCACTAATCTCAGTTCAATATGTGATTTTATTTTTAGTTTTTTCATCAAACTAGTTTGGAAGCAAATCTTTGTTTAATATGCAACTTGTCACTGAGAATGGATGTGTCAGTGAAACATGCTGTGCACAGCAGTCACAGTTTTGAAACAATATATTCCTAGATTCAGAAGTTTTCAACTATGGAAAAGTGTTTATGAGGGTTTTTTGTTTTGTTTTGTTTTGTTTTCTGAAAAAAACATACAGGACAAGTTCTTATCATATTCAGAATATATTTTTTTAATTATATAAGTTAAAATAAATTTCAAGAACACTGTAGTTTCCTTCAACTATTTGCAAGCTCACTTTGTTTTTCATGCACCTAATGTTAATCTGTACCAGATCTGTATATTGTTCAAAGTCTTATTCACAAAAAAGGCATGAAAAATCTAAATATTAAATAAAAAGAACATTTCCAAAGTCCTTTTTTTTCTTTCAGTAACCAAATAGTAATGCCTTTATTGATACCTACTTATATGTGTGAAATAGAAGCTATCTGTAATCTGAAGCATTAGCTGTCAGTATAATAAGTAAAAGTCCCATATTGAAAGTGCTTTGATGTTGGTACCCACAGCAGCATTCATCCATCCATTATCTATACACTGCTTAATCCTCACTAGGGTTGCGGGGGGAGCCTATTCCAGACAGCAGCAACCACATTTATACTTATTTTAATGCCTACAAAAACATCTACACATTAAAACAATCAAATAATTTTTTTAAAAAACAGACAGCTTGTGGTTCATTATGAACCTGCATCCTTTTCAGCTGTTAATCTCTCACGAAACATGAATGTCCTTTCCCTCTTTTTAAAGGAGCAGCCAACTAACCATTTAACTCACAACCATACACGATGTACAGTGGCTCAGGATGTGCACTGGCATATGCTGCAACCTCTTTGCACATGGCAGCGTGCATCAAGCGCCTCAGAGCAGAGACATCCGGCCATGTAATTTGTAAACTCTTTCACTTGATCAGACATTCAGCATGACTTGTTTGATTGAGAGAACCGGTGTGATGCTCAGACATGTTTCCTGTCACCTCGTACACACTGACCTTCTGCTTCCTCCTGAACTGATATGAAGCTGTCATATCTAACCGGTGAGTGCACGTGATTGGGTGAGGCGTCATACATGGGAGGTGAAGTGCATCTCCCTTCTTGAATTTTTTTTGTGCTCTGGCACCTGGTGCACAGGATGAAGGTTTAATTTGTGTTTTTGTGCATTTTTGACCGCATTGTTACATCAGCGACACACACCACTGCCCCATCTTGTCAACAAGATAAGATAGTGGTAGTAAAACAAAGTAAACAAAGTCACCTGACAGCAGCAACATCCCTGTGGTGTGATTTACAAACAGGATTTCTCCTCCCTTCACCGGCCATTCTCTGACAGGCACAGGAAGCCAACTCTGTTCTACCTGATAAGAAACTAGACTAAAAGAAAGCCATTAAATTGGATGCAGGACCCACTATCCTGTCCTGTCTTCTTTAGAAGCAGGAAGACCATTGGATAGACCTGTGGGAGATTTTCTCACACAGTTGCTGCCAACAGGGCAATCAGCCGGGAAGGAAAGTGTTGCACTATTCCCCTGTCTGCTTTTAGCCATCTCTGATGTGTTTTTGTCTTTTATGGCATGCGTTTGACACATATTTATCATTTTGTACATTTTCAGGTGTCTTTATTTCTGGTTTAGGTGACAAGGTCTTCACACAAATTGAGAAATGAGAAAGTAGAAATGAAATAGAGGAGCAAAGGAAAAGCTCCAGGTGGATGAGAACAAGTTAACAGTCACATAAGAGCAGTTGAGTGCTGTGTGGACAAAGGGCCCCTCCGTTATATTTCTGTGTGCACTTATTATGTTTGTGTGCATGTTTGTGACTTGTGCGAACACACTCTATTGTAACTCAAGCGCATGGGATGACATTTACAGATAAATCTACAGCACAGAACATTCTGAACAGCGATAAACACTCTATATCCTCCCTCTCTCCCATCCATATTCTTCTCCTCCTCCTCACCCTCCTCCTCCCTCACACTGGCTGTTTGTCCATCCCTCCTTTTTTTTTTTTCTCTCTCTCCCCATTCCCTCTCTTTACATTGTTCTGTCGTCTTTTACCACCCATTCATCCATGCGTCCATCCACCCTCCCTCGCTCTCACACCTCTTCTCTTCCTCCTCCTGCTCCCTCCTCTGCCACCTCTCCATGCCTGCATCTCTTTCCCTCCCTCACACCATCTCTCACTTTTACTCCTCAGGTCACCGTTTCAGGTTGATGTACTTGTGAACTGAACGTTTTAAACTCGTATTAAATTCAATCAAGCACCGACATTGTCAAAAATCTTGTTATCCTGTATATAATTAGGCATGTGTTCAGACAGTATGTAAGTTGATGCTAACGCTATCTTTTTGATTATTGTTTTACTGCCTCTAGTCTTACTTACTTTTTTAATAGATGACATTTGCAGTGCTTTTGTCCTCATTAAAGTTTTAATTAAAAGTCTAATTAGGATGTGAGTTTCCAAACTAACAGGTATTTTTAAGATTTTATGTTGTAACTTAGCAATGATGAAGGCAGGGAAATGTCAGTTATAAATAGATTCTGTGAATTTTCTCACAGAAATAGCCAAATTCAAATAGTTGAATACTGTGGTTTGTTCCATCAAACTGCAAAAAAAAACCAAAAAACAGAAAAATGAAATAAAGATTTGACAGATTTGTATTAAAAGCAGCATCCAGATGCCCTTTTTACTGTCACCACCACTACCAATCTCCAAATCAAGCCAAATCGCAGACCCCTTATTGCTTTCCTTTCAGCTTTCTACCATAAAAGCAATTTAAAAGGTATAAAATTCTACCAATATATATAAAAAAAACATCTTTTGAGACGTGCACCATAAATGTTTAAATGTGTTTAATCAGTTCTGCATTCATTTTTTAAGCAATTAGTTATATTGTCATGCACACACAAGGATCCAGCCCACATGGACACCAAAATACCATTGCAGGGGTCATTGTAGATCTTTCCCACGTAGTGAGCTAAAACATAGGATGTTCAAAAAGCTTCGTTTCACAGTGTAATATCTAGTCATTATATTAGATGCAGCCATTACTTGGTGTGCGGACCTGATAATGTGTTTGACAAACCGAGTGTATCACAGAAGAGCCTTGTATTATCGGTTCCACATCATCCGTAACTCCCCGTATCTCCCATCCCGCCCTTTTTCATCCACTCTGAGCTTTATGTGACCCGGCCCGTTCCTAATCAGAATGACAGACAGACGCTCCGCAGAGAAAGACAGAGAGAATTAAAGGGAGACCCGAGACTTTGTTACTGGACTGTTTGTGTGTATGTGAATGCTCACAGTTGGGTGGGTGTGAACATCCCCACACACATCTTTCCTATAGATCAAGCCCCTACCCACCCCCATCCTTCCCACTCTTTATCTTACATGGGTGATGTGATGTGTCATCCCAAGTAAAAAAAAAAATGAATGACTGATCTAAGCCAAACAATCGCAACTGATGTAGAAGTTCATGTTCAGTTACTTGAGAATGTTTAAAAAAAAAAAAAGCTCTATACACTTTTTAATATGGACATCAGTGGTGCAACTACATAGCATGCCGTCCAGTCAGCACTAACACACGCACCGGTTTCTTCTGTTCTGTGCTTCTACAACACAGATGGCTTGAGTCAGTGTAATTACCGTGGACAATGGGTGTGGTAGCCCACTAACCAGGGCCACCACAGGCAGTGCAGACACACAAACACTCACACACACACACATATACACTATGCATGTACGTACAGAACCTGATTTCAGCAAGCAGTCGAAACCAAGGCAGGATTATAATTCCTGGACGGGGCGTTGAACATCCAGCAGAGGTGTAACGTAGTATTTACATTTGTACCACTTGTGACATGAACGAACACATGGACACACAGTGAAAGACCTGCATGTGCATGAGTTTTGCTCTCCTTGTTGTTTTTTTTTTTTTTTTTTCAGTCATCCACACTACAATAATCTTAATTTCCCACGAATGATCTTACATAATCAACTTCAGATAATATTGTTTCGAAGGCCTGCAAACCCTCGTTGGGCTTTGGTTGTTCTTGTGGGGAGCCTTAATTGATGAGAAAAAGGTTTAATTTCTGGTGTGACAGTGAAAAGCAAATAGAAGATGGGCTGCTATAGACCAAAAGGCATGGAGGGTGAGAAGAGCAGACCGGATGAAAGAAAAAGCCGGCAGCTGAGGGGACAACAAGTGCAGCAGGGTGGCAACTCCACCACACACACACACACAC